AAGCCCCAGTCATGAGAAAAAACAAGAATTAATATGTACATACATATATATAGAGAGACATGTAGTTCATATGTACATATACAATTCATGAACGACAGTTCGCATGACCCGATATGCTTTGTTGATCCGTGGGCGCGAATTTGCTGTTGCTTGCTGCCAGCTGCTTGAAAGGTCGGTTGTACCTGATCAACGGAGCGCACAGCTCAGTTTGCACTGTTTCGGTGTTCCCGCCATTTGACGTTGACAGGCAACTGTGTAACTTTAGTTGACACGGCGCACTCTGTGTCTCTCTCTGTTTTTTTTTTCTCTCTCTCTCTCTCTCTCTCTCTTTCTCCCGCTCTCTACTTGTTTTTGCTCTCGCTCTCTCTCTCTGGCTGGAGGGTGACCTGGAGGGAACTTGGTGCTCCGGGGTGGAGAAGATCAAAGCAGCTACATGAGGGTTGAGGTTAAGTCTCTGGCTGGAGCAGGTCAGGAGTTCAAGGTGGGGTGGTAAAACTAGGAAGACAGACACAAAGCACGAGAGCCACCGAAAGTAACATCTGCTGCTGGTGATGTGGTCCTTAAGAAAAACACAAGACGGGGTCCAAGAGCTCTTGCATAGCATTCCGTACCTTTCCTTCCCTGTCAACCCCAACCCCAAAAGTCGCATCCTCCCTTTCCAGATCTTGATGCTGCTTTCCTTCTTGGTATTCCGAGCTCGGGCCCAAGTGATGACAATTTTGAATTGAGACTTCTGCAAGGAATGCCGCATGGGTACTGCCCAAAATAGGGGCATCCTTTTATATCCCCCAAATAGAGTAGAACACTTGAAGGGAGCCCCAAAAAGGGTACCCCTACTTTCGGAAACCCCCACATGGCGGCCAGAAACAGGTGGCCACGAAACGTGTGCCACATTGACGGTGCTCCTTCCGTTCTCCAGGTCGGCTTCTACACCTACATGCTTTTTCGCATCTACCAAATGCAGGAGGGGCTGCCAGGCTGCAATGTCTGCGATACTGTTCAGGCCCTTACGATGCCGAACCCCTCAGAAGCCTCTACGGCGCAAACCCGGACGTAGCAAAGAAACACTAAACCCCTAAACCGGAAAACCCTATAGATCCTAAATCCTAGCTCTTATGTTTCCAAGTGGCGCAAATCTTATGCTTGGTGTGTGCGCACAGGAGTGAAGGTATGCCTTGCAGACACATGTCTGTTGACCCAAGCGCCTCAAGGTTCTTGCGCATTCCGGCTTTAAACCGTTGCCTCTTCCTTTCCGGCTACTTTGGTGGAGTCTGAGCCTTATGGGGGTTTCCGAAAATAAGGGAATCGGGGTCGCTTTAAGGGGGTGTTTATTCCTTTAGGGGTATATGGGAAATACCCTTATAGGTTCAAAATGATGCAAGTGGAACTGCACACCTGCCCAGAGACATCTGAGAGTGCTGTTTGAAAAAACACATGTTGCAGCACACGGGCAGCTCTTATTCCATGATGCAGGAGTTGCCCATGGCGAGTCAGAAAAAGTCAGCCGCTGTCAGCCGTTAGTCTGAACGCCATAGATGTTTACGCCGACGCGCACCAGTCCTTTCAGGGTCTGCCTCTGACAAACGAGTGAAACCATGCGTATGAGCTCTTGTTGCCGGTTGGAGCCTGGGTCATAGAACCAGGACGCGGTGTCACGTGGCATCACTGATGCGAAGATGCGCACACAAACTCTTCCTATGACTTACTAAGGCGGCCTTGCAGTACTACTGGTTCTTCAAGATCGTTCGAGGTGCGTCCTGAGCTCAGCCAAGGGTCTGGCACGGCTCTTTAACAATCCCAGAGCACTCTCTGGGGCTTAGTTGACGCCCGTGGTTCCCAGGTACAAGACTCTGACAGCCAGACCCTTCGCTGCGTTTCAGCTTGCAGAAATATTGCATGTGACATGATGTTAGATTGGCCACAGTTGAGTTCAGGCCTCGCTTGAGTCGGCAGCACCATGTCTCCAAGCCCTGGCATTGATGTGGTAGTGTTGCGAAGCCTACTCATGTGGAGGCGCTCCAGCAGACGACGCAGATGATGTACCTCCCAGACAATCGCTGAAGGCAAGAAGCCAGCAAAAGCAGTCTCAGGAAGACGCAAAGGCACGCGCAAGCGATACCGCAGCTTGATCGCACGCATTGTTTTTTTCATGCTGGCTTTCTACAGCTGACTGAAAAACCGGTATACGGCAGTAGCCTTAGTTACGGACTTGCCCACTGGAATGCGTGAATGGAGCTGGGTCAGCATCTCATGCTCTGACAGTAAGGCGTCCACAGCATCAAGTGAACAGCATTCCTCTGGCGAGAACACGGATGAAGGAGGCCGATGTCTCTTGCACAAGACATCTGGTTGCTGCCTGGATTCCTTAGGCGGAGGTCTGTTGTACATCTGCTGCTGCTTTTGCATGAGTTCACGAAGAAACAACACAGCATGTGCTTTGCTCATCTTGGATGCCAGACGAGCTAGGTTCAGTTTGACCTTAGGTGCTTAAGACTTCCCCACTCCCGGTTCTCAGCCACATATTAAAGCCATGGAGAAGATGTGTGAACAGATGTAGGCTGTGAGGCAAAGCTTTCCGAGTTCAATCTGCGCGCTTTGTGAGGTCGAGTGGGAGCCCGGATCCGGAGAGGTCTGCCGAGCTGATAGCTTGCGACATACACACACACATATATGCACGCATACTCAACAATCTGTAAACATGTAGATTAGTACTTGTGGGTGTGTGTGCTTAGAGCATGTGGATCCGTTTGGACAGTGGCATGCTAAGTGAATGTCTCGAGACGCCATGTGTCCTCTTCGCGTGTCTGTGCGGTGGCCTATTTTTGCTTGGCTACTTTTTTTTTGCATGCTGGCAGGCAGAGCTACGAAGCAGGAGGGTCGGGCAGAGGACTGTATTCGTTGCTTTCATCAGCTAGTTAGTGTTTATACAAGCCAGATTCAGTCACACATAACTTTATGTGTCGGCGACTTGTGGCAGCAGGGAGCTCAGCTCCATTCAGCTCCTGCAAGCTGCTTAGCCCGCTGTCCTTTGGTACCCTGCCTGCGTGGTCTGCAGGAGGAGTGAAGACCTTGATGGTGCCTGGGCTCCGCAAGAACTGCCGCAAGACTGGGAACGCTCTTTGGCATGCTTGCAGAGAGAACTTTCGCAGCCCGAGATTTTGTTTTTTGCCTTGAGGTCGTCAGGTGTCGCCGGACAGCGGGCTTCATCTGAGATTTTGTCTTGGCTGCGTCGCCAGCCATCCATTTTTGAGATCCCACGACTGAGCAAGCTGCAGTTTCTTCACAGCATGAGCCGCCGATGGTCCCACTCCACCCGACGTACCTGACAGGTACGTAGAGGCGAAAGATATCAGCCAAAAGGTAACGTAGAGTTCTCACAAACTGCTCATGTCAGGGGATGTGGCCGGGAGAGCTTGTTGTGTCTGTATCTTCGCACAGCAGAAGCAGATAGGAACACAAGCCATGATTGCATTATGCAATCAAACCAGAGTTCTAGCACCCATCACATGCAGAATCAGTTTTGGTTCTTGGAAGAAGCCCATCATTAGCACAGAAGTCATGGATGCTCAAGCCATGTAATCAAACTATGATCAAGCAGAACCACCGCCAAAACCATAGCAAGACAAACTGCACAAGCATGCTGAACCACAATTGTGGCATTCTCCAACAAGCCTGAGGTGTGAGCGGACCATCGTTTGCGAGCTACATAGCTTCGGCTTCGTTTACAAGTGAAACCATTCACGTGTGAAACCAGCGTTTCCGAGTAATCTGACACTGACTCGCAAGAGTTGCGCTTTGATTGCCTCGTAGAACTTCCTTCTTGTTATCCTTGGTCACCTACTTCACTTTCCAAAACACGCTTAAGGCTCAAAGGCTCCACAGTTCGTGCGAGGCGAAATACATCAAAGTTCCGCTACCGGGGTCAGCCTCATGGCCGCCAGAGCAGCTTTGCGTCAATGTGCGCCGTACAGGCATCGCATGCGAAACTCAGGGGCTCGGGGCGCAGCAGCTTGTAAGAACTCACAACGCTCTAGCCTGAATCGTTGAAATCTGCAGAAAGAGGGAAGGGCCCCGCTCACCATCTCGTTTCGCCTGGTCTTGCCCTTCAAATTCGATGCTTCACAGCTGCTGCATTTGAAGTTGCCAGTTGCCGGGAGTTAGAAACACACGTGGTACTCCCCTAGGAGGGCACGACGTGGCTTGGCCAGAGTTCAGCGAGATCTCGAGACTTCTGCCAGCCTGACATGCCTTCTTGGAGGCAACTGTGCGAAGATGTAGAGTTGCCCAGTTCCCCCGGCGCTTCTGCCCCCATTCTGTCCCCCAGCGCTTCATAAGGAAGTACCTAAAAAGGCCAGATAGGCTGCTATCGCTCGACTATGCAGGGGAAGGGCCGAGGTGTGGAAATCATTCCCGTGGACATGTAGGGCCCACTTTGATAGGCCGGCACCCACAGGGCCCATAGGGTAAGAGCGTTCTTGGGCTTGGTGTGCTGCTTGCAGCTCGGTCTGCTGGTTGGATACGGCTGAACTCCAAGGAGAGTTGACACTTGTGCGCCAGGCAGATCGCTTTGCAAGGGGCAGGCAGCTTAAGGCCACAGCCGGCGCCCACAAGGACCAAGAGTTAAGACTGGTCGCCAGGTCATCGCAAGCACTGGAGACTCCGAAGTAGCTAGGCCAGGACCTGCCTCAATGCAGACATTTTTCCAGCGTTTTTGGACAGCACGTCAGCACTGTAAAACTCTCAGAAGTCCCAAACAAAACAACCAGCGGCCATGTCGTAACGAGCTTCCCAGTGTGTAAGCCGGCAAACATGGCCTTCGCAGCGCAGTCCCAGAGCGAAAAAAAATTGCGAAGATCTGCGACGATGTCGGTGCCGTACAGTAAACTCAGTCAGCACCATTTTCTGCTTGGCAGTAAGTTATTATTATTATTAGTAGCTTTTATTATTATCCTAATTATTATTGTTTTTGTTTAGAGTCACTACAGCGTTTCTCTCCGAAGGCTGCGCCGGCATCGGCGAAGAAGCGGAGCAGGCTGAGCAGAGTTGAGCAAGCTGGACCTTCACTTTGCTGGGTGTGCCCGAACGAGATATCCTGACCCAGTCGCGAATCGCAACTAGAGTACAGAGAGACCTCCTTGCATGCCCAACAATGGACAGACATCCATCAGGTCTTCAGCTTCAGATGAACAAAGAGCGCTCGGACCTCGATTGCCACGTGCAACTTTCAGCCAAGAAGGTGCACTTCATACCATAAGCCTCACCACAGTCGTTTCCCATATGCTGTTCCTAGGCAGGCTGCCAAAGCAGCCGCTGCAGCTTTCAACTCCCCGAAGCAGGCGGGATCATTGTGGTTTAGGAGTAGTGGCTGAAACTGGACATTGGCATGGATGAACCCGACGCTCACCCCACATAGTCCCTGCACCCAGCACCCCTGGACCCTGTGCATAGTTTCAACACCCAAGGGTTCAGAAACTACGCAGTTCTTGTACCTACGAACAGACACGCCCACTCCCTACTTGCATGCAAGCTAAACCAAAAAAACCCTGCCATGCGCTCGGCAAACAAAGCACCAACATCCTGCAAACATGTGCAGCCCCAGGGAGGCAAACTTCAACAAGCTGCAAATCGTTTGCACGAATTCAGAACCGTTCTAGCCGGAATGTGGTTTGGAAAAAAGGCAGGAAACTACATAGCCGCTCAAGCACGACAAAGCACGTCACCGTCATGTATTCCTCGGCAAGCAAAACAATATGAGCAAACTATACACAAATTCGCACCGCCAGCATGCAAAAGAAGATGATGCCACGAATCCGCATTTGTGTACGGCCAAACGCTGGTCTGCGAGGCTTGCTTTCCGTCCCGCATGCATGTCAGAGCTGGTTCAATGAGCAAGGGCCAAGAATTTTTGGCAGAGCATGAGTCAGACAGCCCACCCTAGTCAATACCATCAGCTGCCAGCTGGCAAGACTTAAAAAGGACCCCGAAACGCCCAAAAAAAAAAGCCGCGCTCTTGCGTCCTTGCCACGGCCATGGGCCGCTCAAGATCAAGATCAAGGCCGAGAGTGAAGAGATTCTAAGAATTTCGAGACGGGGTAGAGACCAAGAGTCGGCCAGGGGAGTGGCACACTTTGCAGCTTTTGTTTGGGCTTCAGTCTTGTTTTTGATGGTTGGCTGAGCATCTGCGACCTTTGCACCGAAGTCCAGACATTTCGGGCGGAGCCCTTTCGAATCAGCTTGTGTGTTAAGAGGTTTCTTGTGCTCATGGCATGAAGTCTGCAGCTTTTGGCAGCAACTCCTCTGCGCAGGGATCGCAGGCGCAGCCCTTCGCGAAGGAGCTCCCGGGTTTTTTGTAAGGATGCCAACAAAAGTCAACATGACCCATTCCTTTATGACTACATGGTCACATGGTCAGTTCTGAAAAATGATGGTCCCTTTTTGGGTAAAGATTAGGGCCTTGTTATGGGGCCGCCTTGTAACAGTAGCCCGGGACCATAATCTAGAGAAGCGACCATACAATGATACTGAATAGCGATGAGCCCAGCGATGCTCCTGTTGTTTCAGCTCTAGACTTTCATCCAGGGGGTAGTTCTCTCAATATGGCGTAAGGACCCCAAGAAGGTACCCCCCATGTCGGAAACCACCAAAGGGGACCCCAAGAAGATCCAAGAAGGGAAGCTAATTCAGAGAACCCTAACTTTTAAACCCTAAACCCTGTAAACCCTTTCAGGAGGCGCAGCCCATCACGCCGTCGGCGCAGCCCATCACGCCGGCGGCGGAGCCCCACGCCGCGCCGGAGGAGTCCAGACCGCAGGTACTGGGCGCGCTTTTTTTCTCACCCCCCCAAGAGAAAAGAGGAACTAAGAGTAGATATCTAAATCTAGATGTATATATCTGTATACACATGTTTTTGTATTTATGCACATGTCATGCGTTTTACATATGCTGTAGAAGCCCACAATACATCCGCCAACAAACGTTGGGTTCATTCATCATGTCCCGTCATGCCCCGGCGTGCCAGGCGAAGGAGCCTCGGCTGCAAAAGCGCGAAGTTTAAGGGTCGCTGCCCACGCCCTGGCATCGGCCCGTGAATCCGAAGTTTAGGGAGTTTAGGGTTTAGGGCTTAGGGAGTTTAGGGTTTGGGGTTTAGGGAGTTTAGGGCTTACTTGTTTTGCATGGATTCATCTGTCAGGCCGGTACCCAGGGGTGCTATGTAGCTTTTTTTTATGACTGCTTGCCAGGCGTTCTGGGTATGTAACGGCTGTTCTATAAGACGGCGTCTCAGTTTCTGCGTTTGTGTTTCTTGGGATCCAGCCAGAGTTGGAAACTCAGGGCTTTGAATGCTCTGCTGGGTCAAAAGCGGTAACATGGGAATCAGGTCACCCTTCGGAAAATCTCCCGTCGACGTTGCTCCCAACTTCTACTAGCAGTGGCAGTAGCACCGTGCCTGAGGGCGTCTGCCACTTTGGGAACTTGCTTTGTTGGGGAGAGCTGGTGACATTCGAGGGCACCACCGGCCCAGCGTCTGTTAGACATGTTGCTTTCACTGCGGTTGTCTAGAATCGTGCACTACAGAAGCTGGAACGGAACCCAGCTTCCAAGCACATTGGTCCTCGTTTTAGGGACCGCGTTGCGCAGCGTACATCTTGTGCATCTACACGAGATGCGTGCAAGATGCACACGTTTACCAGGTTACCTGGGTTTCTGGTGCATCGAGCCAGGCGGACGTAGAAGGCGTAGAAAGCCCGGCTGGCAAGGGAGGTTGACAGGGGCTGGATGCTGTCGGCTTCGGGCGCATTGTGCATGTTGGACCGCGCGCCATGAACATCCAACTTGCTTCTTGCTCTATTTCAAGAAGGAATTTTGTCGTGGATGAAGTTAAGGAGCCCCTCCCGGCGCCGCAGTCCGCCAAGGTGCAGATACTCGTATATGGTGTCATATAGTGTATGTGAACATACATACATATATATATATATATACACATGTTTCTCCTATTTGCACACATTACATTTGCATCTGTGCCACATCACTTTACAGATTTCAGCGCAGTATGATATTTCATCTCGTTCTGTTCTACTGCATATATATATATGTATGAACATATAAACATATATATATATATATACATTGATGATGGTTTTCAATTCTACCCAGCTTTCGTGACATCACGCTAGAGAACTTCCCGCTCGTTCCTACAGGCGACGCAGCCCCTCGCGGCGACGTAGTCCTTCGAGGCTGGGCCTGTGCGCTAACAAGAAAACTACATGAAATCTGCGATATACGGGGTTATATATATATATATATTTGTGCTTGTGTATACTTCCTACATATACACATATGGAGTATACACTAGAACATTATATATGTATAAAATGATTTCATGGTTGCATAGAACATGTAAAAATATCTATGTACATATGTATATACGTTATGTACATATATATGTGTGTATATAAAGACGCATTCTAGTATCTGACATATAACATATAAACATCTTCGAATACACTTTATTGTAACATGTGTATTTATATTCTACTATTTAAATCAGATGAGTATACGTAGGATACATACAGTATATGTATCGCACGATACATACATATTATGTACACATATATATATATGTATATATATATATGTATACCCTAGAGACCGGAATTACAGGAGAGATGCTTTCGTTGGTGCAGAAGTGTCAAGACCTGACAGATCCTGACAGGAAGCGGAGCAGCAAGAGGACCCCAGTCCAATTGCAATTTGCGACAGAGAGAGGTTCGTTACATGCACGCCTCACGAGATATAACGGGATCAGATTCGCTTGGATGCGGGCCCCCCCCCCCCCCCCACCTTTATTGACTACGTAGCTTTTGCCACGCTGTTCAGTTCATTTGCTGCGCAGAGCGGTGTTGCTAGGATCATGAGTGAACACCCCGCATCATTCGTCGATTGCAGTACAGCCATCTCATGTGTGGGAGGAAGGCAAGCTCCAGTAAGTCCAGGCCAGCTGTGTCCCGGAGTTTGCTCTCTCGAAGGGTCCTGAGTGCAGCACTTTTTGAGATTCTTGAGGCTGGGCGAGTTGGCATAATTTGGTTTGGGCTGTCTCCTACCCGTGGTCAAAACGCTGCGTGCAATGATACTTTGGTAGTGTTACTGGATCTAAGCCTTCGAATCAGTTTGCAGTTCCACAGGTCACCACCGAAGATAGAGAAAAAGAAGACCATCGAAGAGCTCATCAAGGAGTCCTGCCTCGCATCCCACCGTTGTTGGCAACCTGATGCGCTGATTGTAGCAAACCCTCAACCCTAAACCCGGTTTCCCCCGCTGTGCTGTGGCCGGGTGGCGAAAAAAAAACCGAAACCCTAAACCGTTGGTTGCGCAGGAGAGGAAGGAGCGCGAGAAGAACAACACTCCAGAGGACCCAGCGCTCCCACACAGCATGTGGCATATGTGCCTACTAGTAGCAGTAGCATGTGTTTTACCAAACTCTCAGGGCACTTGATCTGCCCTTACTTGTCACGAAATTCCTGGCCGCGGGGAGCCTGTGAATGAAGGCAAGATCGGACCCCGATAAGGGATCACGAAGTTTATTTCCGGACCGGAGTGCAGCCCAAAAATTGACACCCCAGTACCTACACTTCAGTTACACATAAGAAGCATGAGCCACTGAGCAATGTAACCCTAAACCCTAAACCGCCCAAAAGCGTTCAGGAAGGCGGGTGGCAACAACAAACCCTGAAGCCTAAACCCTGACGTTTTGGGGTGCGAGGGCTGCTGGCCAGCTCGATTCGGATTTCGGGCGCTTCGGGCCCCTGATTTCCCAACTCCAACTTGCCACAGGCGATCGCCAAGCGCGAAGCTGAAGAGGCCGCCGCCAAAATCGCAGAGTTCAAGAAGAACGCCCCCTGGAAAAAAGCATGAGGCTGTCAGGGTGACCGGAGGCGGAAGTGTTATGGGATTGCTAGCATGGTGGTGTAGAGCAATAGATTGCTTCATTGTTCTAGTATGAAACTGGTATTCTTATATTGTTCTGCTCTTCCATGATTAAATTTACTGTGTTAGTCTAGGGTGTAGAGACGTTGCTGTAGAAGACATTGCATGCAGCTTGCCTTCATCCAAGATTGCCCTGGATGCCCAGAAGCTTCTAAAGGAGGAGGAAGTCCAAAGCTCAGCACTGCTTTTTTGTCCGGCTGATTGCCATGTTGGCCCGGCACTGGCAAGCACAGCAAGGGAGCTGCTGGACGAGTATCGCTGGCATGCACAAAGGAGAAGAAGAAAAAGGAGGAGGAGGAAAAAGAGGTGCGGGCTTGTGTCAGGGTTTGCTACATGCCACTTACCGTGCTAGTGACATGCATGGGTTTGGTGACCACAGCATTCAGCACAATGCGCGACTCTGATGCTGGACCGATGCTCGTGAGCAAGAACCGCGAAGAACTTTTGGGCAACTTCACCATGGCGACCCTGACATGCTGGTCTTACCGAGATGGCATCGAAAAGTAGAGTCGCAGGCTGCCAAAAAGAAGCAGTACTTGGATGACATCAAGGAAGCGCTGAGAGTCGTCAGTGCCTGGGCTGGGGCTCTGAAAGTGCTCTGAATTTACCAGTGCTCTGCAATTGCAAGCTAGAGCGACTCGATGGGAGATCTCCAAGCCAATTTCCCCTCAAGGGCTCAAAAAGTGTTTGCTGCTGGTGCAAATTGCAAAAACCGTCAAGAATGTCGGCCACGGGAGCTGAGGAAAGCTCGCCACTTCACCAGAGGAGGATCCCAGTGGAGGCTGCTACGCTTGTTAGGGTTTAGGGTTTAGGGTTTAGGGTTTAGGGTTTAGCGGATGAGTGTTTAGGAGGGCACATGAGGTCTCCCCTCTGGTGTGGTGGAGCTACTTGGAGGTTCATGGTGCTTGCAACCCCACTTCTAAGCCCCTCAAGGTAACCTAACATGGTGGTACTTGGGTTATAAGTACCATGAACCTCCAAGAAGAGGTTATGGGGTGATGTGAGGCTTCGTGAGGGCGGAGGTTGCAGTAGGGAACCCACTTGGGGTTTCAAGTCAACTCATGCGAGAGCCTTGGAGCAAAGGATACTTTCATGTGCAATCTCATCAATCTCCCCCTCCCCTGTAATTACACCTTGACATCTCTCGCGATCAAAATAAAACCTTCACACCTGCCGTCAGGTGAGCTTATGAAAGCCGCAAAAGCACGAGTTGCCGAAGCGCTTGCTGCTGCTACCAAGGCTTCTGGTGGTTTTCGGGGAGGTTAACGTTTGTAACTTGTAACCCTAAACTTATGCCCGAAACCCAAAAAAAGCCAGGGCTCTCTGTTTTTGCATGGTGCGCGATTGGGAGGCCTCGTTGGGTGGTGAAGCCAGTTTGACATGAGTTGGACTGCAAATGTGACTCGCCGGGCATGCTAGATCTGAAGATGTGCGATTTCCCGCCCACACTAACCCTAGACCCCTAAACTTTAAACCCAGTTGGCCAGGCAGGAATTGATCAGGAAGACATCGTGGCAGCATCGCAGGCGCCAGCTGAAGAAGACGAGGAGAACAACTTTAGCCTGCGCAGCACGATCTGAGAGAAGAAGTAGCTACAGTAAGTTAAGATTTCGTTTAGGCGAATGGACATCGGAATAGATTTGCAGGCAGAGATGCGCATTTCTCCAAACATGTCCCTGTTAGGAGGAGGAGGATGAGCCCGAGCCTTGTGGTGTGTGCCGTTTGCAAATGCGCCTCAGGACATCACCTGTTTTCTCAGCAAAGGTCTGCGAAGAATAGTTTAATCGTTGTCCCGAAGGTGCCACATAAACCGACACACCCCCTAAACCCTAAACCCTAAACCCTAGACACACATATCTTGTGGGTCAATTCTGGAAAATGGCTGCCTCGCGCTCCCCTCGAATTTCTATCGAACTGCAGAGACGTCACAGCGCCCATGCCTGCCGAGGAAGCAAAAGGAGAAAGAGCAGAAAAAAATGACAAAAAAGGAGCCTGGGATTGCTATTGTTATTCTTCTTATTGCTATTATTCTTACTATTATTTTTTTGTTATTACTATTACTTCTTTTTATGATTACTATGACTATTATTATTACGATTATTCATTATCAGTATCTGGGATTGCTAGCATTGGCTACTGTGTTCTCACCTGGCTGCCCCTGGTCCTGCTTCATTCTAGTCCAGGAAGCTTCAGCTGAAGAGCTTGGAGACTGGGATGTATCTGTTTTGCGTCATTCCTCTGGCTCTTTTGCTACCTCCCCTAGGTTGCCCCCCCATAATTCAGGTTATTTAGGGAGAATTTAAGGCTAGTGAAGGTTATTCAGGTAGTAGGGGGACCCATGATTGTGTCAGAAGCCACTAGAACAGTGAGTACCTTCACGAAAGGCGCATCTAGATAAGAACATGGCTGGTCACTTCGGGATCTTGTGAGGAGAAGAAGAAGATTGCCAAAGTCGCCTCTGCACCTCGCTCCGGAGTTTAACGGGCGTTTGTTGCACTTTGGGGAGAGGCAACTGTGGGGTGATTCGGGGATCTCTCTCTCTCTCTCTCTCTCGCTCTCTCCATGACATGTCCAGAACACAAAGTGGGACTCATGATTCATGATGCCGTGTTCTGGGTAGTCCCAGTTGACTCATCCCTCCCGCGGTGTGGGCCCAGCTGGGCCAAATGACTGAATCCCGAAAGGGGTCTGCAACCAAGGTGGCCGCGGCTCAAGCCAAAGAGGAGGCTGCTACTTTCGGGCAGCATTCTGCACGATTCACGCAGACACGCGCAGCCACGAGTCGCAATTTTCCTTGACGTGTTTCCTTGGCTTCTGTCCAAACTCTGCTGGGCACTGCAAGGGCAAGTCGATCGCGGAAGTCGGCAAAGCTGCCACTCAGGCAGCCAAGGCAGGGCCAACCTTACAGGTCTCCATTCATCCAAGGGCATATGGGGGGTTTACGAAAATAGGGGACCCCCAAATAGACCCCCAAATAGTAGGATTCCCTTTCATATGGTGGACCCTAATTTCGGGAACCACCATATGTGTGTTGCCAGACTGCGGTCTGTATGTACCTTTGCTTGGCAGTATCGCACCCGATGCTGTGAGGCTTGGGGCGGTGATGCGCAAGACATCAAGCTTGCAGCCGTTGCTCTTCGCAACATAGTTTTCCAGGAAAGTACTGTGGCAAGTACTAAGTGTTGGGGACAGGTTAACATCCTGAGGGGCTGCTACCAAAGACTGTTCGCAAGATTTATAAGGAATAGTTGTTACAAGTTGCAGTGATCTTGGTAGCATTCGCACACACAAGGCCCCAGCAGAAGTGGCAGCAGCCAGAGCAATTGAGGGCCTTCTGGTAGCATCGCCAAAGAATAAGCCTAGTGCAAGTGGTAGCATGCACTTCATTGTAACCGGCCTGAGGAAACCGCGCTAAAGATTGCAAAAGGCAACTTGGCAGACAACTTGGTCGAGCGCAGAAGCGTAGCTCGGAAAGACCCTAGGGTCTGTTGCATGCTTGCTTCACGCTCGCGACGCTGGTGCATCCCCATCCACCTACACCCCTCTGACCGCTCTAAACCCCCACCCCCCACAACCCCAAGAGCTCTCAAAGGCGAGATCACCGTGGACCTGAAGAAGGCTGCTGAGGAGTCCTCCTCTAGTAGCAGCTCTTCCAGCTCCAGCTCTGTCGAAGATGAGGAGGCCCCCGGCCTTGCACAAAGAGGGGTTCAGGGGTTAAGGCCCTGCCTCCCTTGATCCTCAGTAGAGTACTTTTACATAGAGAGATTTTGTATGACATACCCGACTATCATAACATCATAGTATCAGGATGTCATACTATGTGACAGTCTAAAGAACAGGAAAATAGAACATTCGAACAATGTAAGAGTTTACGAGAACATTGCATTGATAGAACGACTTGTTCTTTTTATGCTCCAATGAGAGTACAAAAAGTTATATTAATAATACGAATATGTTGTATTCGTAGACTTACAGAACAATCTACTAAGACAACAGCATATCTTCACGCAATGGCCTAAAAACCAGCTCACGTTGAGGACTTGGGCGAGATGGACCGGCACAAAGCCAAGATGGACGGCATGGCAGCGATCTATTATTGGGGCATGGGCCGGTGAGGCTGAGAGTCGCCCCCTCATTGAGTGGTCTCACAGCGTTTCAATGTGAGAGGATCGGGGGCGGGGGGAAGAGCAGAGCAGACATCCGCGCAGCAACTCGTAAACCTTATAAGGCCTGTATCCTAAACCCTGAGCTCGATGATTGCTGGGCTTCCCTGCGTGAACCTAGGTGCATGGAATGCGGGATAGCTAGAAGATGTGAGGGATGGAAGGTCATGCGCCTGAAGACTTGGGATGCCTTGCACAAGGGTTTAGGGTTTCGGGTTCATTCAGGGTTCATTGCTCTTGCCATCTCCATGGTGCCCATACTCCCTGGGCACCGGATGGAACCCTCCTGCAGCGAACAGGCGGAATAGAGACGTAAAAGACCCGACATCGGGGCAGTTCCAAGAGAGCGGCCAGCAAAGGCAACACGGTCTCAAAGTGGCGCCCTCTTTTCTGCATCTCATGCCCTCTTCCTGCATCTCATGCATTTGCATTGTTGGAATCCGTTTAGACACTGCGCGGCCTGCAACGTGTTCTTCAAGATCTGCGCCAACGGTGATCATGGTTGCCTCGGGTTGCGAAACGGTCCCATTCAGCATCCGAGGGGTCACTTAGGGATTTCATCCCTGCAGCTCTGATTTCAGGCAGAGGGCCAGTGCGGCGCTTCCCAAAAAGGCAGGGCTGACAGCTCCCTTGCAGGGTTCGCTGTGCCAAGCGCGCATATCCGTTTCTGACAGCATGCGGGTTCGTGAGTGGGTTTGGCGAGTTACATAGGAGGGTGGTGTCCATATCTGTGTTTAAGAATAGTGATGATGATGATGATGATGATGCAACAGAGCGAGCGCTCACTCAGAGTCGTCAAAGTGACTAGTCCTGTGATTCGATGAGAAGGTGCATGAAGAAGGAATCGAAATGTCGTCTCTCATACGCATCATGTCAACAAGTTTTTGTTCTAAACATCTCTTTAGTTCTTGATGTGCGTCCCGAACATGCCCCTGCTCCATCACAGTTCTTCAGTGCGGCCCTGGACTTTGCCAATTGCTGCGGAAGCGAGGTCCCGCCGGCCAGCGGCGGAAGAAGAAACGCCAAGGCCCCGGAAAGAGTTATTGCAGCCTTCTGGCGAGCTGCATACTGACAGTAAGCCTTGAGATATCTGAGCGTAGACACTGGCCTTTGCAGAACCATGCGTTTTTACTTCGACAGTGAAGCGGCGGAGGTGCTCCTGCGGACAGGCCTGGTGGCGATTGAGGACACACGTGACATTTTGAGATGCTCGTCTCGTCAGCCACCCACCTGCTGCATGGGCAAAATGACCTCGCATGGAAGGTGGCTAGCCTGCTTTTGAATGGGACATCGATGGACCGCGCGACTCCTGTACTGCAGCATGCAGCCTGATTTTGGTATCGCTTGTTTTCAAGCTTCAGGCTCATGACACTCCGAGATGACGGAGCCCTACCCCAAACTTGTAATGTACTCACACTGATAGTGTCACTGCTACCTACGCCAAGTGCAAACTGTAGACTGGCATGAAACGCAATGTCCCCCAGTTAGAGCAACCCAACGAGGCAAAACATGCTTCACCTTTGCTTAAGAAGTGTTGAACGTTGTATGCAAGCTGTGTCCCAGCGCTTGCGCGCCATGCGCACGCTGCGACGCTGGCCGCTCGCCGTGCCCCAAGATCTATCAACCAAGATTGTCCAACAGTTTGTGGGTATTTGGCCAGGGCCCATGACAGTCCTGATGTAATGTGTAGAATAATGCTGACAAATTTTGATGTTGTTCATAGAAACAGTTGTGGCTACTCTGAGTTTGTTATCTTTAATATTGCTTCAAAGAGCGCGATGAATATTCTTCATGTTGCTCACATGATTCATGCTGTTACACTATGAATGTCAGAAATAGTTATTGCTAGCTGGGATGTTCCCCTTATAAAAAACAGTCCTTAATATAGGGATTACAACAGGGGTACTATAATCCTTATTCAGGACTGTTAATATATGGGGGGAAATCCCAAAATTATTAGTAATGGTACGAGAAAATATCAAAGCCTAATTCAGACTAATTTCGCATACCGTTGCGATTTTCTAACATCAATAACGATCAGTAGTACTGAACCCTAAACCCTGAACCCTGAACCCTAAACCGTAAACCCTAAACCCTAAACCCTATTAGCAGTGAGACCTTGCCAGGGAGCCCAGGCTGGGCGACCGAGCTGGGCTGGTCTCAGGCCCTGGAGACCCCTGGGTCCCTGGCCCCCGGCCGCTGGGCTGTGGGGAGCAGGGGCCGCTCCCCAAGCTTCCGTGAGCCCCGCCGAATTCTGGCCCCTTTGCGCCACCAAAAACTGCCCTCTGCCGCTGCCTGTCCTGGCCCTGCCGTCCTGGCCCTGCTGCACAGCTTTGTGCTGGTTCACGCCTGGCCAGCCTGGCCCCACTTGTTCGGTTTTTGTAAAGGGCGTGAGTGCTGACCTATGTGATGCTTTGTACACAAAATAGAAAAAGGTCTTAACTCCTTGAGAGTTGTAAGTGGGCGGTCTTGGGGTGGGTAGGTCTGCAGACTACTGCGCGCTCCCAAAGTGCGCTTCCGTTTGGCACGCCCTAAACCCTAAATTTTAAACCCTAAACCCTAAATTTTAAACCCTAAACCCTAAACCCTAAACCCTAAAACCTAAACCCTAAACCCTAAACCCTAAACCCTATAAACCCTAAGCCCACGTTGCTGACCGAGGTCTCTGGCCTCGCAGGGGCCGCTGTGCTGGTTGGTCGCGCTCTCGTGGCGGCCTTGGGTGAGTCACTATTGTTTCGGGGTTGAGGGGTTTAGGGTTTGACTTTCCCCGGCCGACTTCCCAAGCCCGGATGCAAAAGGGTTTAGGGTTTAGGGTTTAGAGGGGCATCCGAGCTCTAAAAGGACGAGCAAATCTGAGAAGAACGCCAGAAGAAGACCCATGGGGCAGATATGTAATGTAGAGTTGAATAGTTCTTGGTTCCTTTCTTTTGCACATCTTCTTCCCCAAACCTCAGGTTCGATGGATGGTTCGCTTCAAATGCTAGAGAAGAAAGAGGTAATCCCAGAGAGTCTCGATGGTCAGCTGACGGTCAGGCATGGAGTTGGGCTCGTCGCGAGAACTCCAAGAAATCATTTCTAAGGAACAGGCAACATGATGACATACAATTTCTTCGTGATACGATTACCAGGGAATAGGTTAAGATATAGAATCAGGTTGTACAATGCAGCTTGCCTTTGTCCATTTCTGGCTGCTTTGGCTCTTGCTTCTTGATTTTGGGATGCCAGGCGACCAATGACCAGACCGAAATAGATGTTGTCATCGTTGGTGCAGGCTGGCCAATGAACAGCAGCTGAGCGTGTTACGGTCTCACGCATATGCAGAACACACACATGTATCTATCCATATATGTATATGTATACATGCGTATGCGTATATCTCTCTGCATATGTGTGTGGGTGCTTTATGTATGTGTATATACATATATATATATATATGTATGACTATATGACATACTATATCCAGTAGATTGTATAGTTGTCAGGCCAAGCAGGAATGGCGGCGGCGTACCAGCTCCGAAAGAGAGGACATCAGTGAAGAGATGAAGCGCTCCGCATGACTGCTTAGGCTTCAAGTGTCGTTGAATCGTGGCATTTTCTCGAGGACTCACTGTTCGAGTTCTGGAAGCTACAGATCATGCTGCCCACTTGCAGTTGCGAAACGGAATCCATCCAGCTGTGCTCACATATGTAAGGCCTTCTGGGCTAAGTTGCACACAAGGATGGGTTTAAATAGCCGAGTTCGTGATTTTGTGCCTGTGGAAGCGGTAAGGTCGGTGGGCGCACGCGCAACATTGACGTGGCCACAGGCGTTGGGGCACGGGGACTGGCAAGTACTGTGTCAATGAACAAGCTGATGAGCTGTAAAGCGGCAAAGGGTCATGTGAAGGCATACTTCAGGCAGGAGGCAAAATTGGATTGGCGGGGCCGGGCATGTGGAGAGTCAGAGCGTGCTCGACTACATGACCTGTGAGCAGCAGCGGCCAGGAAAAATGGACGTTGGCACGGATGATGTCATTGAAATTGGCGGTACATGGCTATCTCCTGATCACTCTGCGGCGTTGGACCTTTGCAGAGAGCGGCTTGGCACTTGATTGAGGATCGAAGCCTTCAAGAACTCACCGCACAGGGCAGGTCGACGCACATAGTGCAAGCTACGATTCTGGGGGCATGTGAGTTAGGGGCCAGGGGTTTAGTCGATTTTGCCTCATATGCGCAAGCCTCCCCCTAAGCCTTGAAAGAAATGTCGTTGAACCATAGCACTCTTCATTGAGCACATCATTTGAAAGCTGCTTGCGAATTTCGAAGCCTCAGGCTGGACATTGAAGTCTACAATGCCAGCTTTGTACCTGACCTCGACATGCCGTCCGCTCCGAAGGCCAGGTCAGTTAGGGTTTCGGGTTTAGGGTTTAAGCTTTAGGGTTTAGGGTCGGGGGAGTTCATCTTGCATTGCCCTATTGAGCTCTGCCTCTGCTGAAGGAGGACATGCCCTGGTGGTACTGGGGGTCAGACTACCCTGCAGAGCAGCGGCAGCTTCTGAAGCAGTGTCCTGGCCACTCAAGGAGACGTTGGAGACCTCACCTATATCCCCCTTGGGAATTGTTTTTTTGTTTATATAAAACCCAAGAGGATATTAAAGATACTAGTTATATTAAGGTTCTAAAGGGGGTTATAGTCATATGTTCAGCTTGGATGTTCCCGACCTCCCCCCAGGTCAGTGGTTCACACCTCCAGTGGGCGACACCTCTACACCACGGCCAGCGAGCTCAAGGCTTGGGTCGCGGCAAGGGTCGCTAATAGGAGCTCGGAGCTGCCGCAAGATGTGGGCCGCATTTCACTCAAATGAAGATAGGGGTTTAGGGTTTAGGGTTTAGGGATGCAACGGCTGGAGACCGCCAAAGCAGCTCTCGATGTGCATGGCCTGGCTTTGTCAAAGGCAGCCCTTCCATCTCGCTCCATCACGTCCTTGCAGCGCGTTGGAGTCGCGTGGCCGACTGGTGCCAGATTGAGTGGTGGAGGGTGCTTCGGGCAATATGTTGTCTAATGTTGTCTGGCTTTGCGCTTTTGGCCCTTTTTGACCTTTTGTTTTTGTTGGCCTTGTGTCGATCTCAGAGAAACTTAGGATTTCATCGATGGAAAAGCTGCAGGCATCAGCGACAGGCCCTGAGAACACGAGTCATGAAACCACACTTGTGCAGTGCCCCAAATCAGACGGCAGGTGTTGGACTGCCAACGGCACGCTCCTTGGCATGACTTGGCCGTGCCATCATTGCCCGTGCATGCCATGCCGTTGCCTGGCCAGCCCTGGCCTACCCAGAGACTTCAATACGCCTTCATTAAGGAATACTCCTCAAACCACATAAGGAGGCCTCTTACATGTTAAGGAAGTATCCTTACTGAAGGGGTATTGGAGTCCCTCCGGGTAGTTCAGGTCTTCTGCATGGAGAGAAGCCGACAGAGACACCACCTGGGGGGCGCTTGGTGGAAAGCTGGAGGGCAAGGACCTCCTGCTTTTGGCCTTCAGTGTGTTGTCTTGGGAATGCGCAGCATGCATATGCTAGTTGCATACGATGTTTGCGTGAGACAAGGGCTTTTCAGGGCCTTTCACCTTAAACGAAACCGGCTCCGATTCCCAGACGAGCAAGAGCTAGAAACCATTTGCCTAGGCCGCTGCAACCGAAACCAAAGGACATTCTTACAACTTTCTGCAGCTCTGTTGTCACGGGCGTTAACGGAACATCAGGAGCATGCCCAGCAAAGGCTTTCAGAGTCACATCGCGAATCTCACTTCACTGAAACCCGGGAAAGAAAAAGCATTAGAACTCTACACCGCGTGAGCACCGTCAAGTCAAGTGACAGATGTTCCACATAGTTTTGTCGCTAACCGGCCCGCCTCGCTCATGCACCCGGTTCAGGCAGACGCGCTGAAAGGGGTAGAGCGGTCAAGAGTTTCAAGTCAGAGGGCTCGAAGGGTTAGAGGATTATGCTGGCATGGTTTACGGGATAACCGGCTTCCAGGGTTCTGTTATTTTGATGGGTGTCGTCTGAATTGATGCTGTTGGTTGGAAGAAGTAGTGGGGAAGAGAGCGTTTTTGCAGGTCGTTTTGCAGGTCCTCAAGTGGGGCCACTCTTTTTCTCCGGTCCGGACAGACCATCAAATCACCCTGCCTGCGGTTCGTTCGGCCAGCTATGCGGGAGCGAAAAAAAAACCCTATACCCTCAGGTTCAGACCCCGAACCATGGAACCTGGTGGGTGCCCGGGAGCTGGTACCCTGGAAACCTTATCGGCCCTAAGAGATTCTGGGGTGTAATTAGGGTTTAGGGTTTAGGGTTAGGGTTTAGGGTTTGGTGTGTTGGGGTTTGTGGGCTTGCACTTTCACAGTTCGCTGGGGTCATAAACGAGGGGACCGACATTGAGGGGACTTGCTGCTTATGCTGCTTGGGGCTTGCTCGAAGGAGAATCATAGGCAGCTCTAATGTCGGGTTCTACGAACCTTGACCGGCTACAGCTTCTCTACTTGTACTAGGCACCACCTCGTTTTCCCTAGTTTATGGAGGTAAGGTTCCTTGATATACCCCATTGAGACCAAACAAACGGGGAACCCTCTTTGTCCACGGTGAGAGATTCTCATGCTGTAGGCTTTATGTTTCGGGTTTTGGGCTCAAACCCCCACCACTGGGACCAAGAACCTTACATATCGCAGCCCGAGGGGCGGTTCGAGCGGCACGAGTGGCCGGGGTGTTACTTTGGAAATACAGCCCGACGTCTCCATTGACTGCTTGAGACAGATGGCCCAGAGTGCTCTGGGAGTGGGGGAAAGGAAAGCTGCTGACAGCTTCTGGAGAGGCACTGGCCAGAGGCGCTTTCAAGGAAACAGGCTTGCGAGACAACGATGTGTTGACCCTGCATGTGGGAGAGCATCGCGCTAAAGCTTCAAAGTTCTTTTGGAGAGTACACCAGAACAGAACTGCCTGGGCTTTTCTGCTGTGTGATGGATCTGTGGACACTTGGGGCGATGCTACATGTGGCGGCGACAGCAGCACCGTACAAGGTGAGCTGAAGGACGTGCAGCACATACAAGCTTCTTTCGGGGCATTTGCTGCGATCCTTGCTGATGGATCTGTGGTGACTTGGGCTGATTCTACATGTGGCGGCGACAGCAGTGCCGTACAAGGTGAGCTCAAGGACGTGCAGCAGGTGCAAGCTTCTTCAAAGGCCTTTGCTGCAATCCGGACTGATGGATCTGTGGTGACTTGGGGCCATGCTGCATTTGGCGGCAACAGCCGTGCCGTAGAGGGTGGGCTGAAGAACGTGCAGCAGGTGCAAGCTTCTTCACAGGCCTTTGCTGCAATCCGGGCTGATGGATCTGTGGTGACTTGAGGCGATGCTGCATTTCGTGGCCACAGCAGAGCCGTAGAAGGTGAGCTGAAGAACGTGCAGCACATACAAGCTTCTTTTGGGGCGTTTGCTGCGATCCGGGCTGATGGATCTGTGGTGAGTTGGGGGAATGCTGCATGTGGCGGCAACAGTAGTGCCGTACAAGGCGAGCTGAGGAACGTGCTGCAGGTCCAAGCTTCTGGCAGGGCTTTTGCTGCGATCCGGGCTGATGGATCTGTGGTGACCTGGGGCGACGCTGCATGTGGCGGCGACAGCAGTACCGCAAAAGGTGAGCTGAAGGACGTGCAACAGGTGCAAGCTTCTTCACAGGCCTTTGCTGCAATCCGGGCTGATGGATCTGTGGTGACTTGGGGTGATGCTGCATGTGGCGGCGACAGCAGCACCGTACAAGGTGCGCTGAAGGACGTGCAGCACATACAAGCTTCTTCAAAGGCGTTTGCTGCGATCCTTGCTGATGGATCTGTGGTGACTTGAGGCGATGCTGCATTTGGCGGCGACAGCAGTACCGTACAAGGTGAGCTCAAGGACGTGCAGCAGGTACAAGCTTCTTCAAAGGCCTTTGCTGCAATCCGGGCTGATGGATCTGCAGTGACTTGGGGGGATGCTGCATATGGAGGCGACAGCAGTTCCGTACAAAGTGAGCTGAGGAACGTGCTGCAGTTGCAAGCTTCTTTTGGGGTGTTTGTTGCGATCCGGGCTGATGGATCTGTGGTGACTTGGGGCAAGGCTGGATTGGCCGGTGACAGTTGAAGGATGTGCAGCACGCGCAAGCTTCTCAGCCCACGCAACTCCGCGATGGGCCCGTGAAAGACATGCCAGGTTCAACAAAGAAGTCCTTCGACCGGAGCTGCTTCAGGGTGGAAGTTCTGAAGTTCTCAACAGTCGCTCCCCCCTAATTTCTAAGTTACGGTAACGGCCTGCTACGCCTTGGGCAGGATGCCGAGCAGGTGCTGAGAAACTGACCTTTGTCGGCATCACTGGGACACTGTGCCCCTTTGGTTTGATACCTCATCGTCTGCAGTTGCAAGACGCCTGTTCTCGCTGCAAGTGCTGAGGCATCCACGAGAAAAACGCACAGGAGCCAGAAGCGGTCTCATTCCTGTACAACCTCCTGTCCTTCAAAGGCATGGAGATTGAGAAGGTTTGACATGGCCTGACTGTTTTAATGGTCCAAATGGTAGAGGTACTCGTAATTATGTGGCCGTGGACATCTTATGCAGCTGCAAAGATTTGCTCTGAGTCTTCGATGCGAGATAGCTGCTCATGCCTGCGCGTCTTGTGCAGCGCGAGAATGTCTCAAGGACGAGATTCAGTATAACAGTCTGACAACACACCATCTTTTCTAGCACACTACTATCCCCATGAACCAATATACTAATATACTAGGCACTGTCTGCCTCTCTTGGCGCGGGGAAGCATGTGGAAGGCTGCAACAGCAAGGGCGCAGACTCGCAGTATCGAGTGCGCGGAGGCGCCGATGCAGTTGTCAAGCCTTGTTGTTGTGGCCTTCGTGGCATGGCCATATCAATATCAGTACAGTTAACGCTATAACAACAACTGTATAAATACATAGATACTCATATGAATACAAGCACAGAGCAATCAAATAACTATGAACCTGCTTTTAAATACATTCCTTCATGCATCAAAATGCAATCATATTGTAGTCATCTATGAATCAAGTAATAGATAGTTTTAAAATACTCTTGGACGCGCAGCCACAGCCTGGGCCTGAGGAACTCAAGCCATCCCACTCCGCATTGCCGCGAAGCTTGGGGATTCTGTGCTCTTGGGCCAGGAGGTGACCTCTGTCAAATCCGACCGTGCCTGGGCTGTCTAGTAGTAGCTCAGCAGCTTTTGCCACGGCCTCATCGGCTAAGGTGAGGGCGTGGAGGTCCGCGTTCGATCAGGGAAGAGTTTCCGTGCGCGAGCAGCAATCCTCACAGGACTCGGAGGGAACACTGCCCAGATTCTTAGTATTGACAAACATAGAGCCAGGACCTCCTTCAGCAATATTGGGTATAAGTTTCGATCCGCCTTTGGGTGGTGCCGATGCCCAGTGGTTGCAGCGGAAACTGGGCCGAATGTTGGTGCCATCATGAGTGACAGGATGACAGGTATCGAACATCTAGATCCTTATGGAGCAACGAAAGCGTTCAGCAAAAGTAGGCAGACGAATGAAAGCCAGCGGCGCAGCGAGAAAGCGCAATCGCAAGTGTCTCTTGTGGGGTGCTTTGCTGGAAGGTTCGAATTTTAAAGGAGGGACTCCGATAGAGCCTTCGCCCTACGCAAAATAACTTTGGCGGCTCACTGAGGATTGGGTCACCCCCCCCCCCCCACATTGTTTATGTTTATGACTTAGGCTCCCCGTTGAAAAGCTGTTCTCCAACGCACAGTACGGAAGTTCGCTTGAAGTCTATAAGGATGCCGATGGGGACTTCGCTCAAGCTGGCCACCTGACAGACACTTGTGCTGCTTGCGGTAGGCAGATTGCAGACGAGATTCGCCGCATGAGATGACATCGGTTCTTCCAAGAACCTCTCGCCCGGTATCTGCTTGGGATGCAGTGTCGGCATATGCCCGTGATCCCTAAACCCTAAACCCTAAACCCTAAACCCTAAACCCTAAACCCTAAACAAATCGAGAAGTGTACCGAGGCTAAACCCTAAACCCATTCAGGCAGCCGTCTACAAGGAAGGGCCATGGTGGAGGGAGCTTGGCCTGCAGGGTGAAATCCTGTCCACGAGCCTGCCACCGAAGCTGTCGCTCCCCGCCCCCGACACCGATCTGCCTTTGTGCCTGGCCTGGTCATGATTTGGGGGGTTTACGAAAATAGGGCGCTCCTAAAATAGACCCCCCAAATAGTGGGATCCCCTTAGAATAAGGACACCGCAACTAGGCAAACCCGAATATCGTAAACCCCCATTTGTGTCATGATGCACAACAAACGGATGGACGAACAGAACGTAGACTTGGTCTGTCAGAAATCAAGGTTTGTCCAGTGCATGGACCACTCGCCCTACTCCAGACGACTTGGTGTTATCGCCTCTTGGCCCATAAGAGGCTTGCCCATGATGGAACATGTGGTTTGAGTGCAGGGAGCCCTTGACCATGAAGCCTAGGTGTGTTTTGTGGAGGGCCGGCAGAACCTTCATTTTCTACAGATGAGCCAGAATGAGCAGCAGGCCTTCCATGCCGTGGAAGTGAAGCAACAGGCTTACAAGTGCTGTTTTTGTGACTTTGACAGGAGCGCTTCCTGGAGTTCCTGGCGATGAGCTTCAACAGCTCAAAGGCCATGCGAGGATGTACTAGGACACTTGATTCATGATCGGTGTCAGATGCGTGCCTTTGAGCCACCTCTCAGCCGGAAGGCCAAAACACTGAGACCAAGCTTCGTGACGCACAACTGGGCGGATGCTGAGATTGAATGGCTCAAGCCTGCTCAGGCTAACTAGCTATGCTGCTATTTCCAGTCCGTGGCGCGCTCTTGCCTGTCCACCCAGGATCAGCCATTTGCTCGGGGAGCTTACACCGGCTTCTTCACACCAGGTGTCATGTCGGTTCCGGCGCTGCTTGGCTTAACGGGGTTGCGGAGGTGTGGGGGGGGGGGGGGGGGGGCGCTGGCAACTGATCTTGTTTTGGAAAACCTGTCCTGTCACTCAGGGGCATAGGCTTCGGATGCCAATACGTGGTGCAAAGTCAAATCACTTATTTCTGTCCCTATATTCAAGATTTCACACTCGAAGTCTACACCCTCACGGCGATAGGAGGAAGTAGGTTGATGGCTGTCGCCATCACCAAGCCTTAGTTGCGCATGCAATGATCACCAGTCATACCAAATAAGCACAAGAATAGCCAGTTTTTGGAGTAAACAAATTCAACCACAGCCACATAGCTCTATCCCTCTATATATATACATACCAATACACACATACACACGAGTATAAATGTCAAATACAGATGTCTTTACATATATGTGCATATATATATATATATATGTCTGTATATATATATATATAATATCAACATATTTAATATAATATCAGAATCATAAAATATGATCTATAATATAGTATGATATAATATGATATAACATGATATAATTTGATATAATATGATATAATATAATATACAATATTATATCATAGAACATATGTCAACATATAATAATAGAATATAATACAATATAATATAATACAATACAATACACTATCATATAGTCTAATCGAATATAATATCATATCATATCATGTAATGTAAATATCATATAATATTATATAACATAATGTCATATTATGCTATACTATACTATATTATGTATATATATATATATATAACGATACTATATTATGTATGTATATATATATATAACGAAGCTTTGCAATGGGTCACGGTCGTGCAGCACTGCAGCTCCAAGGTTCTGGACAGCCTTCCAAAACATGGAGAAGCTCCCCAACGTCTTCTTGGCAGGCAGGGTTTAGGGTTGAGGGTTGAGGGTTGAGGGTTGAGGGTTGAGGGTTGAGGGTTGAGGGTTGAGGGTTGAGGGTTGAGGGTTTAGGGTTTAGGGTTTAGGGTTTAGGGTTTAGGGTTTAGGGTGACATGGACACAGGAGCAGCTGCCAGCGCAGCATCCATGAAGCAAGACTTGCCGTGTCACCGCTTGCTTGTGCACTATTGGTTGCGCTTTGGGCTTGGTACTCAGCCGCGAAGTTCAGGCCCGCCACGCTAGTTCTTTCAACTTTCAACTAAAACCCAGCTCCCTCACAGACCGTTGGCCGGGTGTGGGGCATGTGGGGATGGCACGACCGCAGTTTTGAGCACCCTTTGGCCAACTTTGGGCCTATAAAGCAGATGACAGCGAAGCAGATGCGCTATGGCCACTTTGGCATGGAATGTTCAAGTCAGAAAGGGTCTCCTGTCGTAGCGGTCTAGGCTAGCCTTGACGATTCTCGCCGGATTGGGTATTTTTTTGGCCGGGGGCCGTTGCGCGATTCCTTCGGCTGTTTCGGTTGCTTTGGGACATGATTCGTTGCAGTCAGGCTCTGACTACCACATTGGTTTCGGCAACGGCTACATCGAGGTGCCAAGCTTGCCACGCGCTACACATAGAATCGACGGGTCGGAATACCCACCTGGGCCCTGCTATTTACAGGGTGTATAAAGGGTCTAAAAGGGTTCCCCAATTAAGGGACCATGTAACTACCATAAGACCTCTACACTCACAGATTTGGACCCTCTGCTTGGCTGCCTGGCCATTGTGTTTCTTCGCCATGGTTGCGCTCCACTGCGTGTTGTGGTAGGGTGTCCAGGCAATTAGGCCCACACACCTGCAAGATGTGCTGCGGACAGGGGGCTCTGCGTGATGGAGAAGGCGCCGCCCATCGAGCGGCAGAGCGCCTTCAGCGCGCGATGCATGTCTGACAAATCAGGCAGAGCAAGGCTCCTAAATTAGTCTGCGTAGATGGCTAAATTGTTGTTCTCACTCCAGTTGCTTCGTCAAAACAGATTAAAACAGTGGGAGAGCAACGTACCATGAGTCAAGTCCATCTGCTAGCGACCCTTTGGACGCACTCTTGTCAAAAGGCCCGTGCGCAGTCGGAACAGAATAGCCCTAAGCCGTCTCAAGTTTGGAACTGAGTTGATACTTTGTGCTTTTCTTGAAACAATTGAATTCTTCAGGCGCAGTTGAGACAGTCAAACTTCTCTGCCGGACGTGCTGACAAAGATGTTGCAGCTGCATGTGAACAATGAGCAACCAGCAACACACCGCGTCACAGCGCTGAGTTCAAGCATGAGGCTGTAGATTGATGCGTGAAGTGAACGACAATTCATCAGCAGCTGCAGCAATTGCCATTTCTCGATTGTTGTTGTGGAGTTCTCCGATTGCCACAGCCACCAGCTTCACGCGATCGCCATGGCACTCCTCTCCGAGGTTGGCCAGTTCTCATGAAACGTTGACGATGGCGTGCCCTACGTTAAATTCACAAGCCCACCCCTAACATCCTTTGCCCTGTGTCACATCGTGGCACTAGGCTGCTATTCAGAACGCAGAGCTGCATTCTTTGACACCTTCATCTTTGACCTTGGGCTCTCAGGGTTGGGAACATGGGGGCGCTTGGGAGCTCCCCCTGGTTTATTAGCAAGTTTGTTTATGATAAATAATGCTACAGTGTGATGATCACTACGAGTAATGTTGTGATGATGATGATGATGATGATGATGATGATGATATGACGATGTTTATTGTGGTTATGATGGGCACTATGCTTGATGATGGTTCTTATTTCAGGAAAGATTGGCCTTTCCTTGTTAAACCCTAACCCTTAACCCTAAACCCTAAACGCTTCGTAGTTATTGGGGGTCTGTGGCCGAAATGCCCAGAAGGCCTCTTCAAGCAGCAACAGGGGCAGCCGGACCCCTTGGCCACACCCCGAACGCACTCTCATCCTGGGACCAGCAAGGCCCCCCATTATCAGGGTTTAGGGTTTAGGGTTTAGGGGCCCTTGGCATACAAAGATGGAAGCTATGACGGTGAGGCCTTTGCCCTCGGGGCTCCGCAAGCAGTGCCGGTCGCTAGGCGAGGAGTTTTGTTGATAGTTCCGAGGGCACCCAGATTCAACGGTGGTGTCACGGACTGCCTGCAGGTTTCTTGACACACAAACCTCTGCTTCTCAGCATGTCCATGTGGGATGCTGCGTGACGTGCAGACTCAATGTAGATGGTATGCTTTCGGTGGCTTCATTTGCCTTCAAAAAAAAGGTGCCAAACATGCCTTTGCTGAATGACACTATGCCACTATGCTTGCAGGTTCGATTTGCGGCGCGATCGCACGGGCCATGAGGCTCCACAGCGAGGTGCGCATTCGAGTTCGGCATGGCACGTCCTGTTCGCTCGGATCTAGCGTCGCTATGTGTTTTGTTAGCCTAGAGTACCCTTCAAAGTCATGAAGATCACCAGGGACTTGCAAGGTTTGCACAGCCCCTCGGAATGAGCGTTGATGAAAGCAAAGCATGCCATCGTAGGGGCATGTCGCATGGATGCTACTGGGCTGCTGTAGAGTGTCAAGTATCAAGGCGCATCCTCGGCTGCCGCCGGCACCATGGTTTTGGCCGCAGGAGTTGCGGCAATGAGGCGCTTTCGACATGTACGTGTAGGAGTGGCACCTTGAGAGGGCATGCATCTGTATGCAGTTTAGTAGACAGTCTCTCACGAACCCTATACGACCCATTCAGAACACAAATCAATGCTGGCATGGTCGTTCCAAGCTCGTCCTTCTTCTTGTAGACAAGTTGGCATCGCAACCGCACTTTAGTCTGAAAGAGACTACGACCTCGACGTGTTCCTTGAACCCCCGACCAAGCCCACATGGAATGAAAAAACATGCACAACACATCATTCAGAATGGTAGAGATCGGAAGCTTTACCGTGTACTTGCAGAGGCGTCCCAGGCAGAGATGTGCAGCAGCTGCTGCAGCACAGGCTCAGCCAGGGAGGTTGAGCTGCGGTCAAAGGTCATGCGTGGTGATTTCCGCATGGTTATTTCCACCGGAATCATTCCAACATCAGAGATTTTGCACCCATTTAAGGGTCCAAGTTGGTGCGGCTGTGCCATGAAGTTCTCTTGACATAGCTAAGACCCCAGATTAGAGTCCTTGTGGAGGTGATCTGGAGCAAAAAAGACAGAGCAAGAAATTGCAGCTGGTTCTGCTGATGCCATTTAACCTGTTCGCTAAGTGCCCGCCAAATTTGCTTGACGTTGCCTGAGGGAAGGAAGAAGCAATCGTCGACGTGCAAGACTGCCTCGGCGTGCAAGGCCACAGCCGTTCAGGCCCGACACCGACGTGAGGCTGAAGTTCCACTACCCAGCTAGGAACGGGTTATGGGTGTGATTGGCTTCTTGGAAGTCGGTGGAAGCGTACTGGGTTGATGGGGGGATATGCAATGCCTAACTCTTGACTGTTGAAACGAAGCGCACTGGGTGTGTTATTCATTGTTACTGGGGTCGTCCTTGGCACTTAAACATCATGATCTCTACAGATATGAAGAATGGGGGCGGTGGTTGGGCGATCGAACGGTTCCGGAATTGTGGTTCATGAGTCCCGGTCCACGCAACTGCAGGAGATGCCGGCAGCAATCAAGACAGATGAGTCGTCGTCCGGCCTTCCAGAGAGGCATTGGCAAGCATGAAACTTGAAAGATCCTGAAGTGTTCGCGCGCTGCCATGCATGGAGTAGGTTGAACCATGAATGCTTCCTGCACCAATTGCGCCCGCCGAGCCTCACGACTCCCTACTCCTCCAGAGGTCTTTATTAAGACCTGAAGGCCAAGCAATGTAGGACGACAGAGTCCGCGTCCACAACAGTACAATGTGGATATCTGCTGCTCCAGTCCACTGCTACGTCGCCACGCGCAACAAAGGGTTTCAGACAAGCTGCGTGACTGACAAGAGGATTTTGACTCGTATCCGCGGAACTCTCTGTAGTAGACATGTGGAAGATGAGGGGGACCTTATCGGTTCCTTATTATAAGGGAATCCTACTATTTGGGGTCTAGACTAGGAGTCCCTTATTTTCGTAAACCCCCGTGGCAACATCTTGTTAGCCTGCTTCTGCATTGCAAGGCGTGGTGTGCTGCCCAATGGCATGCGCTACGTGATTTTGCGCCATCAAGTCCCAGCAGGACGGGTCGAGGCAAGGGTTCACCCTGGGGCATCGAATGATCATGGCTAGAACATGAGCGCCGAAGTTGCACGCAACGCTTTTCGAAGTCCCCCGTGCTCATGAGAAGGACCCCTGTGGTTCAGGGAGAGTGCATGCTTTGCCTTGCCAGATGTTGCCTCTGAGCATCAGGCGCACCTGGAGTTTCATGTGGGGTCCATCGATGAAGAAGAGGACCCTGACTGAAGGTGTGCATATTCTTGCCTTACATGCCTGCACGTAATGAATGTCATGCTGCAAAGATGCCGATGCAGTCGGTCAGTCCTTGCATGTTGTGTGTGAGTGTGTGCTTTCCGCTTGTTTTTGACCGTCGTAACTAGAGCCATGTTTCTGAGTGGACGCATATGCCCAGCTTGTATGTCAACATACTTGGGCCTTCGGATAGCCGACCCAATGCAGAATCAACGCGGCATGGCCCACATGCTCGAGCATGCCGGCGCCCCAGAGCATGTCTCCTTCTGCTGGGGAGTCTCAAGCTAAGTGCCACACACGCATAGAACACCCTGACGCAATTAAATCTAGTGCCGTGCTGTTCTTTTGAGTCAGCCAATGCCCCGTGGCCTCAGCAGATCCTCAGAACTCCGGCGTCCTCCCCAAACTCTATCCCGGAAGGCCTCCTTGACTTTCCCTGCAGAGTGGTACGGTAGCAGCAGTGCAGGCCGGAAACTTGGGGAGCGAGACTCTACACCCCTAAACCCGAGAAGTGGTCCAAGGGGAAAGAAACCCTACACTTGGGTCATCCTCGCACCGCAGTCTCTCGAACTAATGACTTGGTTTAGAGTCTCTTGGGAGTGAATCCGGGATTCCCCTATTCGCGGAACATCCATGTCTGTTTTCCTGCTCGTTAGCTTGGTTGGTAGAGCACCCGCTCAGTAAGCGGGAGGTGATCAAAGACTACCCCTTCGCAATTGTAACCTGCCGAAAGCCACGAGGCATGGCACCCTCTCTGCATTGCTGCTTTGCTACACACAACTTTTCCCGCGGTAAATGTACGTATGTTTGTACATGTTTGTATTCATGTGCGTTTACACTCTGGTTTTCACATTTATCACAAGATGTTATGCCGGCCGCCGGCCCCTTGCTCCAACTGAACTGAGCGTCCTGCAGCCACATGACAAGCGCGTTGGAGCTGCCGGAGATCTTCAATGACTATCTGGGGAGCTGTCCATTCACCGTCGACGAGTACAAGGCCATACTGAGTGTGACGGAGGAGCGCTATGTTCGGATCAGGGATCCATCGTTAGATGCAGAAGCCATAGCGGCGCACTTATCCTGCTCCAAAGAAGAAGTTTTGGAAGTTCGGTGGCTTGAGGACTTCTCAAAGCCCGACTCCAAGCTTCGAGTCTTTCGTGTGCCTGAGACGGCCAACATCCGAAAGAGCGATCTTTACGCGCGCGGGTCTGTGTTTGGTATGGATGCGTCAAGCTTGGCGGCAGTTTGGGCTTTAGGCCCATGTCAGGGGGAACACGTCCTAGAAATCTGCTGTGCTCCTGGAACGAAACTCTGCTGCCTTGCTGACGTTTGCCTTGTCACCGGCATCGACTGCTCGCATCAGCGCCTCACAGTCGCAAGAAGTCAAGTGAAGCGTTGTCAAGTTCAGGAGTCTGTGAAGGGGCTCTGGCTGGCAGATGGGCAGACATGGAACTACGATGGAGAGGAGCTTTTGTCTCAGGGGCTGACTCGTGGTGACAGAAAGCAGAGCAG